CACGCATCTTTAGTTACATACGTTACAAACAACACCTGATTATAGATTACGGTTATAGACTGAAGGAGTGAGATACTGCATGATAGAGAAGATATCAAGAGTTGAGTCGTTTGGCGTAGAGGTAGATCCGCTGAGTGTTTAAACGAGTTTGGAGTACATTTCAGCAAGCTCTGCGGCAAAGTGAGCCTTCAACTTTGGTCTCTTGCTCTTCAGCGTGGGCGTAAGGAGATCGTTCTCCACGGAAAACATGACTGGGGAAAGGCGAATGTCTTTCACCTAAAAACACATTATGTGCCACACTTCACCATCGAGAAACCCTGTAATACTGAAACATTATGATACTTCCAGCCAGACTTCGCTCAGAAGCGCTCAAAAGCCCCAAAAGAGGCCAAAAGCACCTAAGCGCCCACAATTCCCTCCCCTCTCCTCACACACGTTCCGCGCTATCCCAAAAGCGCCTCGCACGCTAGCACGGAATTTGTGTCAGGAGTACTGAGAATGCGAAGAGAGACAAAGAGATATAAAGCTTTCAAGTGCTTTCGTGCGCTTTTGAGCGAGTCTGGCCAGTGCCTTAGTGTCATCGCAACAGCTTTCTGTGTTGACGTAGATGACACTAAGGGGGTAGAGGAACGAACACCTCAATTGGGACCGCCTCCGCGTATTGCTGGTCCTTTCGCCTTGCCGTTGTACATCGTGTTAAATTCAGTAGTTCGCAGAAGCGCTGGCAAACTGAGATGTTCGTCCCCCATCCCACACTAAGGTACACTTAGATCCTACTTTGATGTGATTCGAGTCTTACGAATAATAAATACAAGCAGTTACATCGCACCAAATCAAAATTAGTGCAAAAAAGATACCTTTCAAACCACTTCATTCCCCTCCTGTTCAATTTTCATTGAAAAAAGACAATATTTGCAAAAAGTGATTTGCCAAAAGACTGCGCACAGATGGAAAATTCAGTCGCAGCTCGGATTTGTTTCATTCTATCGATACAACGACTCTTGGAGTACATGTCAAACTAAAATGCCTTCTGCAGCCATCCCATCACCGCATATTGAAGCAAAATACAGCAATTTGAATTTGCTCATATGATCAATGCGCTCAGTCAAACTGCCAGTCAGTCAAATGCACCATGTTTAATGGAAAGCTTACCTGCTCAAATGAGAACAATCCACCCTTCTTTCCTACAGCAACCATGTCATCGAGCACCATTTTTACGACGTCCTTATTCTTACATAACTCTTCTAACGTCCCAGTTAGTTGGAGATGACTCTTGCAAGCAGGGATGAGCTCCTATAACAGAACGCTAAAGTTTCCATAACCTGCAGCCAGAAAAAAAGTACCTACCTCGGCGTCGGGAACAACGATAGCGATGAGGCAAGTTTTAAGTGATTCTCCATATACAAAGGACTGAGCAACAAACTTCGATCTCACATAGATGTTTTCAATTTTCTCCGGTGCAACGTATTCACCCTAAATTTGAAAAATATGTCAACAGTGCACAGAATAATCAAAAATGCAATATTATGCATTTACCTGCGCCAATTTAAAGATATGCTTCTTCCGATCAACAATCTTCAAAGTACCTTCCTTCAACCAACGGCCTATGTCACCTGTATGAAGCCATCCATCTTCATCGAGTACTTCTTTGGTCATTTCCTCGTTCTTATAGTAACCGCGGAAAACGATTGGGCCCTTTATGCAGACCTGGAAAATCGATACTCAGCTATTAATTGAATTGTATGAGCTATAAAAAATTTGACCCAAATTTCTTTCCAAAAAATCAACTTTAAACGCAAAAATTGCTATTCCATTAGATATACCTCCACTAAGTTTAACAACGACAGTGTTTAACAGACCAAATGAATAAACTGCTTTGGCGGCTGGAAGGCGACGCCCGAGCGATGCAGTCCGCGTTTCTCCCGCGAGCGTTCTATCTGATGATTCTCTGGCCCTCGGCGGCGCCTCCCAGCCGCCAATCCGTTTAAATCAAAGGATACGAAAAATGTGAACTGCAAACCCTACCTCGCCAGCGTCATCCTTGGCAAAATATCCTAATTCCGGCACATCTACTAGTTTAATGCTTGCAGCAGGAACGACCATTCCAACGTGTCCTGCATTAGCATCACCTTCCATTGAAACCTGAAAGAGAAATAGGAAAATCGTAGAAAAAAGAAAAAAGAAAACAGATAACAAATAATTCTGACTTACCGTAGCAGCAGCAACGCATTCCGTTTGGCCGTAACCTTCAACAACCACGCATCCCATAGCAGCTCTCACAAAAGTGAGAACGTTTTCCGAAAGAGGTGCAGAACCAGTGACCATGAGTCTTACACGTCCTGGAGTGTAGGCAATGACAAGAAGAAATAAAAAGCTTGTTTACATTCAAGGCATACCTCCCATGCTCTCTCTGACTTTCTTAAACACGAGATTATCAAAGAAACCATCACTGCGAATGACGAAGCTAAAACACTTGTATAAAAAAATAACTCCATAGTGTTGAAGCTATATCTCACTTTCGCATTTCACGAGCTTTGTAAGCAACAGCAACGGTAAGGAGAGCCTTCTTCACATAAGATTTGTTCACTTCGGACATCACCTGAAAGCGAAGCTACCTAGCTATACCAGGCCATGCTAAAAACCAAACAAACCTTGTCGTACAGCCTATTGAGGACGCGTGGAACGACAGGCACGACTGTTGGCCGGAGTTCTTTGATGTCATCAACGA